CACATGTCATTATCTGACTAACATTTGACACATGGCCCGATTTGGTGAGTTATAATTTTGCTTACGTATCGCGTTCTTATCATGCATATATGTATGTTTTAACAGTTTTTTTCATTTAACATTTTGTTAATCATGGCTAATAATTGTTTGATTCACTTAAATCTTAACAATGATAAAAATATGCCATTCCATTATTTTTAATTTATTCAAAAATATTAATGTTTTTACTATCATAGAAGTTTCAGAAATTCTTAATTTATATAAAGAATTTTGGATTTCTTTATATAATGAATATTTTATATATAAAAAACTAATTAAATTTTCAACTCTATTTGTAGTCATTAAAGTACACGAATGACAAAATTAAACATGCAAGGAAATAATAAACATATACTCAATTAAAACCGACATAAATATTAGTTTGAAGGTATTTGTAATTATTTTAAGAAAGAAACAAAAAATGGATCTAAAATCAGAAGAAATTTGGTTGAATTTTTAGGTTGTATCTTTTCATAAATAACCATTTTATGGTTGTAATAACCGTTTTATATTTATTTATAAGGACTGCGTCTTTTTGCTATAACTAATTTACGGTTGTATCTTCTGGTTTTGTCCTTCCCAAAAAATTTTATAGTTATTTTCAAAAATTGCGTCTTTTCACTATAACCATCTGTTTAAGAGTTGCATATTTTCGATATAAGTGTTTTATGTTTAATTTCAAGAGTTGCAGATTTAAAAAAAAAACCTTTTAGATAATTTTGGATTTTTTTAGAGAATGAAGATTTATGGTGAGTAGATCTCTAAATACCATTTGACTTATCATAAACTAATGGCATATTTAATTTAACATAAGTTATAGTTTCTTAAATAGAAATATGAAGTGTATAAAAACTATATATTAGACGGTAAACTTACGAATGAAATTTAACTCTACAATTTTTAAAAATAAAACTGTAGATATCAATCAATGTTATTTAAATTATTTAGGCATGTTATATTACTATTAATAGATATCCTAAATGATATATTATAGGATCATGTTCGGAGAAAACCCTTTTATGGTTGTTAGAACATTTTAGGGTTATGTTTTTTTGAAAAAACTGTTTTATGATTATTAATACATCCATGAATTGCGTCTTATTAAAAAAAATATTTTTATGGTTTTTCAAACATCTAAGAGTGGTTGTCTTTTCAAACTAATACTAGCAATCCTACAAAATACATTATAGAGTTGCATCTTTACAAAATATAGTTTTATGGTTATTCAAACATTCTAGGGTTGTGTCCTTTTGAAAAAACTATTTAACGGTTATTAATACATCCAAGAGTTGCATTATACAATTTTTTTCTTATGATTATTAAATCATCTAAGGGTTGCATCCTTGCAAAAAAATCTGTTTTATGGTTATTAATGCATCAAGTTTGCGTCTTTTCAGAAAATTTATTTTATGGTTATTAATGATTTATAGGGTTACGTCTTTTCAACAAATTTTTTGTGGTTACTAAAACATTTAAGGGTTGCATTTTTTTGAAAAATATCGTTTTATGGATATTAATGCATATAGGATTGTGTCTTTTCAAAAACACCGTTTTACAGTTATTAATGCATCATAAGAGTACATATTTTTGAAAAATATATTCAGTGGTTATTAATGCATGCATCTTTTCGAAACCACTATTTTACAATTATTATCATAGGTATATAGTCGAAGGTTCTTTACCTCTGAATTTTGCGTAGGCTTCGAGTCCTAGTTATAATAAAATTAGATGTTCAATTACTAATAAAAACCATAAATACATGTCTTTAGTCCATCACAAAGGTAAACTTAAGAACACAACAAATAATGAAAAGTTTATAGGTAAGAGGAAAGAAATCTAAACTAC